TTCTACAGCTGATAAACACTTTCAGCAAAGTATCAGGGTACAAATTAACTCACAAAAATCAGGAGCTATATGCAAATGACAATGAGCTGAGAAAGAAATCAGGGAAACAGCACCTTTCACAATACCCTTAAACAAACAAACAAACAAACAAACAAACAAACAAACAAACCCTTGTGGTAACTTAACCAAGCAAGTGAAAGACTTGTGTGACAAAAACACTTCCAATCTTTGAAGAAAGAAATTGAAGAAGTATCAGACGATGTAAGATCTCTCATGCTTGTGAATTTGTATTATTAATATGGTGAAAATGGCCATCTTACCAAAAGCAATCTACAGATTCAATGCAATCCCCATCAAAATTCCAACACAATTCTTCACAGAATTTGGAAGGACACTTTTTCAGTTTCATATATGGAAACACAAAAAGCCCAGAGCAGCTGAAACAATCCTGAATGATAAGAGTTGCTGGAGATATCACCATCCCCAATCTTAAGTTGTACTACAGAGCTATAGTAATAAAAACAGTGTGGTAGTTGGGCTGTGGTGGCACACACCTTTAATCCCAGTACTTGGGCGGTAGAAACTGGCAGATTGCTGAGTTCAAGGCCAGCATGATCCACAGAGCAAGTTCTCAGATAGCAGAGCTTGACAGGGAAACCCTGAACACCCAACACCAACATACTAAACAAGAATGATAATGGCATGAAAAACAGACACGTTGATCAATGAACTCATCCACTTACACTGGGAAAAAGACATCGTCTTCAACAAACGCAAATAGATTCATACGTATCACCTTGCATAAAACTCAACTCCAAATGGATCAAGAACATGAACATAAATCCAGATACACTGAACCTGACAGAAGAGAACAGGAGAATAGACTTGAATACATTGGCACAGGAGAAGACTTTTTGAAGAGAACACCGATAGCACAGTCACTAAGCTCTACAATGAATAAATGGGACCTTTGTGAAATTAAAAATCTTCTGTGTGGCAAAGGACACCATCATTCAGACAAAGCAGCAGCCTACAGAATGGGAAAAGACTTTTACCAATCATACATCTGATAGAGGGTAAATATCTAAAATATATAAAGAACTAAAAAACTGGACATTTAGAAAATAAATAACCCAATTTAAAAATGGGCACAGATCTAAACAGAGAGTTCTCAGAAGATGAAACACAAATGGCTGGGAAGCACCTAAAGAAATGTTCAGCATCCTTAGTCATCAGGGAAATGCAAATCAAAACTACTTTGAGATTTCATCTTTCACCTACCAGAATGGTCAAGATCAATGAAATGAATGACAGCTCATGTTGGCGAGGACATGGGGTAAGGGAACACTCCTCCATTGCTGGTGGGAATGCAAACTTGTTCAGCCACTATGGAAATCAGTGTGGCTGCGAATTGATCTACCTCAAGATCCATCTATACCACTCTTGGGCATCAACTCAACTCAAAAGACTCTATCCTATCACAGAGACACTTGCTCAACCATGCTCATTGCTGCTCTTTTCACAATAGCTAGAAACTGGAAAGAGCCATGATGTCTAGCAAGGGATAAATGGATAAATAAAATGTGGTACACAATGCAATGTTACTCAGCTGTTGAAAAATGAAATAATGAAATTCACCAGTGAATGGATGTATCTAGAAAAAGATCACCCTGAATGAGGTTAGCCACACCTAGAAAGACAAATGTGACATGTATTCATTTATATTTGGATGCTAGTTGTTAAGTCCTTGGCTAAGCGGGCTATAATCCACAAAACCACAGAGATTAGGTAGAGAGGCAAGGCCAGTGGTTCTCAATCTTCTTAATGCTGTGACCCTTTAGTACAGTTCTTCATGTTGTGGTGACCCCAACCATACAATTATTTTCACTGCTGCTTCATAACTGTGATTTTGTTACCATTACGAATCTTAATGTAAATACCTGTGTTTTCTGATGGTCTTAGGCAACTCTTGTGATAGGGTCGACCGAAGGGGTCACAACCCACAGGCTGAGAACCTCGGGACTGGGAGAAAGGGAAGAATCTCCCTAGGAAGGGGAACTATAATAGATAATTATGGATGGATGGATGAAGGACTGGAATGGGAAAATCAAATGGGGATGGGGAAGGAAGAGAGGGTATGGGAGGGAATACTGGGAGGGACAGCTACAATGAAGGACCATTGGAGGGGTTGTATGGAAACTGAATATAGCAGAAGCTTCTTAAAATATATACATACACAAAAGAAATCTAAATTGGAATCACCAAATAATGGGGGAGACAAAGACCCAAATAGATATCTTTCACCACTAGTACCAGGATGGGTTACATCTAAAGAAGTTGTTGGTCAATGAGACCCCATGGCAACTTCCAAATAGCCCAGGCTATTACTAAGGCTATTGGTTTCTCTATACAAATTGATGGTAAGACAATCTACATAACTCACTAAACACAGAGAAACGGAGCTGGTGGCTACCTAGAGCTTTCATCCCTACTGGCCAGTGTTCATGGTACCAGAAGGTACCGTGAACACTAGCACCAAAAGATAAGGTAAACACCAACCCAGCTACAAATCCTGCACTCTATAATGGTGACCTACTACAAGACTTACGGGTAAAGGAGTGGTTCAAAAGTGGTGGAAGTGACCAGCCACTGTTTGATTGGAACCCATGCCCGACACTTCCCTGGGTGGCTAAGAACCTGAGACTAGATAGGCCATAGACCTAGGGGCAAACCAAATACTACTGTTCTCCTAAAGAGGTGCAGTAATAAAATGACTCCTAATGACATTCGACTATACTCATAGATCAGTGCTTTGTCCAGCTATCCTCAGGGAAGCTTCCTTCTGCAGCAGACGGGAACAAATGCAGAGACCCACAGCCAGACAACATACAGAGTGAGAGACTTTGGAGCACTTAGTCCCAAATGGAATGTCTCTATCAACTCCCTCCCCTTGGGGTTCAGCAAACTCTGTGGAAGAGGAGGTAGAAAGAGTGTAAGAGCCAGAGGGGATGAAGGACACCAAGGAACCAAGGCCTTCCAGACACAACAGGCCTGACACACGCACGGACTCACAGAGACTGTGGTAGAGCACACAGGCCTTCGCAGGTCTAAGCCAGATGGGGTTCCAGCACTCAGAGGGGAAGTGGACACAGGTCCCCACCCTTAACCTGGAAGCTATCTGCTTACAAAGGAAAAATTACTTTTCTTCAATGGATCTTGCTGGGCATGCAGATAGGGTTCAGTCTGTTCAGACAGTGGCTGGCCAACACTGGTATTTTTAGAGGTTTTTTTTTTTTTTTTTTTTTTTTTTTTACGAGACAGGGTTTCTCTGTATTGTTTCGGAGGCTATCGGTCCAGCCCAGCCTTGAACTCCCAGAGATCCGCCTGCCTCTGCCTCCTGAGTGCTGGGATTAAAGGCGTGCTCCACCACCGCCCGGCAAGGTTTTTTTTTTGTCTCACAGTACTTTGTCTGGGCTTCCCCCACCTCACAAGTCTCTTACGTTTTCCAATTTTGTTTTTATGGGTTTCCTGTATTTGAGAAAGTATCTCTCAACATCTATGTGTTTCTTGTACTAGCTTTTTTTTTGTCTTATTCTGGTATTTATTAATTACTACCTTTTTTTAGATGCCTGTTTGAATTCTAATGAAAGAGAAAGAATTTGGATTTGGGTGGGTGGGTACGTGGGGAGGACTGGGACGGGGTGGGGTAGGGGAGACCTTAATCAGAGTATACTGTATGAAACAAATCTATTAAAAATTATCTTCCTGATGGTGGGGAGGCATTAAAAACAAAACAGAACGAAGGGCCAGTTAGATGTGTTATGGGTTAAGGGCACTTGCTGCTAAGACTGACAACCTGAGTTCAATCCCCGGGGCCCACGTGATAGAAGGAAAAAAAAAAAAACGTGACTCCTGCAAGTTGTCCTTTACCTCGGAAGAGAGAAAGCTGTCAGCTGAGCACAGCAGAAGGCAGAGTCTGGAGAAACTGGCTCCTGAGTCTCAGGGCCCCTCACTAGTCAAGAGTGTGTGCCCCCCAACCCCCCCACCCCGTCTTTCTCAGAGCACACGGCCCAAGTCACACCTCACACGGCACACCAACCAATCTGTTGATCTCCTCTTAGAGTAGAAAATCTTAGTGACTGAGGAGATGGCTCAGCAGGTAAACCGCTTGCCACGAGAGACTGATGACCTGAGTGTGAGGCCCAGAACCCATGTAAAGGCGGAAGTGGAAACTGAACCCCATAAGACCCTTTCAGCTCATGTAGTGGTGTGCACCTGTAACCCCATAAGACCCTTTCAGCTCATGTAGTGGTGTGCACCTGTAACCCATAAGACCCTTTCAGCTCATGTAGTGGTGTGCACCTGTAACTCATAAGACCCTTTCAGCTCATGTAGTGGTGTGCACCTGTAACCCCATAAGACCCTTTCAGCTCATGTAGTGGTGTGCACCTGTAACCCATAAGACCCTTTCAGCTCATGTAGTGGTGTGCACCTGTAACCCATAAGACCCTTTCAGCTCATGTAGTGGTGTGCACCTGTAACCCATAAGACCCTTTCAGCTCATGTAGTGGTGTGCACCTGTAACCCATAAGACCCTTTCAGCTCATGTAGTGGTGTGCACCTGTAACCCATAAGACCCTTTCAGCTCATGTAGTGGTGTGCACCTGTAACCCATAAGACCCTTTCAGCTCATGTAGTGGTGTGCACCTGTAACCCATAAGACCCTTTCAGCTCATGTAGTGGTGTGCACCTGTAACCCATAAGACCCTTTCAGCTCATGTAGTGGTGTGCACCTGTAACCCATAAGACCCTTTCAGCTCATGTAGTGGTGTGCACCTGTAACCCATAAGACCCTTTCAGCTCATGTAGTGGTGTGCACCTGTAACCCATAAGACCCTTTCAGCTCATGTAGTGGTGTGCACCTGTAACCCATAAGACCCTTTCAGCTCATGTAGTGGTGTGCACCTGTAACCCATAAGACCCTTTCAGCTCATGTAGTGGTGTGCACCTGTAACCCATAAGACCCTTTCAGCTCATGTAGTGGTGTGCACCTGTAACCCATAAGACCCTTTCAGCTCATGTAGTGGTGTGCACCTGTAACCCTTCAGAGCTTACACTTCAGACCCCAAGTCCTGCCTGGACTGCACGGTGAGATGCTGTCCCCTCCCCTGCCACCCTGGGAAGCATAGTTCCGACAAAGAGCTTTGGCTAACTTCTAAATGGTGAGAAATTGGCAAATATTCACATCAGGGCCTTAAAGCTATGACTGTTTGTGTGTGTGTGTGTGTGTGTGTGTGTGTGTGTGTGTGTGTGTGTGCTGGTGAAGGTCAGAGGTGAACTTCAGGGGTCTGGCTTAGTTGCTCTCTCTCTTTTGAAACACATCTCTCAGTGTTACCTGCATCTAACTGAGTCGGCTGGCTTAGACGGGGACCCTCCCATCTCGGCCTTTCCAGTGGGGGAGTTACAAGCACACACCACTACATCCAGCTTTTTCTTTGCTAAGACATCTCCCTGATTATTATTTGTCTCCAACACCTCTTTTTTTCTACAAAATTAACAATTGCCTTTCGTTTCCATTTGTTGCTAACTAATAATCAAACTGTCATTTTAAGCTGAGTCTTCCTGTTGTTGTGGTTAGATGGGGGGATCTCCTGAGTCCAGTTCTATCCGGAATAACTTTCAGCCATGTCTCTTCTTTGAGCTTCCGTTCCTTCTGCCTGTCTTTCCTGTCTTTCATTTGGGGGGAACCCTTTCCCTAGTAGCCTTCTGAGAAAGGGTATATTTATAAGAACCCTCAGAATTCTCAACTTTATTCTAGTTGATTAGTTTGCCTACATAGAATGCCTCCCAGAATTTTGCTCTATTGTCTTCTAGCTTCCAGGGGCTTCCTTTTCTCTTCCCTTTTTATTATTTGTGTCATATGGAACTCAGAGGGCTGTAGGAAGGTAGTTGGTTCTCTCCTACCATGTGTGTTTCAGGGATCAAACTCAAATTGTCAGGCTTGGCTGCAAGCTCTTTTGCTCTCTCAGCCATCTTGCCAGCCCCCAAATTTCTCTTTTACCTGATATTTCACATATGATTTACTTTTGCTTGCTTTTTAAAATCTCCCCAAAGATCTTCAATTTATAAGTTCTTCTGTGTGACTTTAAAATTATTACCATCATGAATGTGTGAGAGGGATGTGTATGTATATGGGGTGGGGTACACAAGCCATGGGAAATGTGAGAGCTTGGAGGACAGCTTTGCAGAGTCAACTCTCTGTTTCCACGTTTACATGTAAATTCATTGAAGTCATGTTGTCAGGTTTGTATGGCAAGCTTGAAGTCATGTTGTCAGGTTTGTATAGCAAGCGTCTTTATCCATTGAGTTTCCTCACCTGCCTTGGCTGCCTTTTTTTTTAAAACTATGTATTACTCTTTACTTAAAAGTTTTAACAATATGCTCTTGTCAATGGGATAGTTCCAAACATTTAAATCTGATAGAAAAGCATTTTCAACAATGTACCATTGTAAGAAAAGGCTTCAGCAAAACTCCTCTCCTTTATATGGAGTGAGGTAGAAATTACTCCAAAGATCTCCTGTCCCTCCCTGGGGCCACTTTCTGTGTGTTTCCACATGGGTCTAGTGCACTTTAGATAGAACTTTCTAAAGCAATTTTGCATTTAAAAATTGATATCTTCGTCCTTTAATTCCTTTTTTCCTTCCTTATTTATTTGAGACAGGGTCTCTCTATTATGTAGCCCTGGCTGTCTTAGAACTCATTATCTAGACCAGGCTGGCCTTGAACTCATAAGATCTGCCTGCCTCTACATCCCGAGTGCTGAGATGAAGGGACTGTGCCATGGCATGCCATTGACAGTCACTTGACAGTTATGTGAACATAGACAAATGAGCACACTCAGTTGGCCACATCGAATGACAAGTACATCATCAGCTTGGACTGCAGCACATCCTGGTTACCTAGAGCCCAGGACGTGGAGGGGGGCTGTCTGGCCATTAGGTGAAAAGATGAGCCAGGGCAATGTGGAAATATCAGACCTGGATTGGGGGGGGGGCTTTATATTTGCAGCAGAAGAGTGAGTCCTGGCAAGCACTAAGAACTGCTTGCGATGAACAGTTGATAAACATGGCCCTCCGCTTCTGTTTCTCCATAGATTCCCACATCCATGAGTCACCCCAAGTCTAGAAGCTTCTGCTCTAAAGCCAGCGGGCAGAGAGTAGGTGCCCGCACCCAGAATCTGGGAGGCCAGTCTGCTCTTGGGTAGGCACCAAGTCATCCAGCATCTGTTGTATATTTAGGAGTCCTGTGACATGGAGAGGGTGGAGAAGAAGGAATCCCACTGGCTCCAGGATGGCCTCTCAGGAGGTCATGGCATAATGGAGCCTTGAAGTGATACCACAGTGAAAACACTAAGGGCTGAGGAGGCAGCTCGCTGGGTAAAGTGCTTGCTGTGCAAGCACGAGGACCTGGGTTCGGATCCCTAGAAGGCTCGTAAATCCAGATGAGGTAGGGCACACCTGTGATCCCTGTGCTTCTGAGTTGAAGCAGGAGGCAGAGACAGGAGATCTCAGGAGCTCACGGGCCTGGGGTACACAGTGACCCAACCACAAAAAAACGAGAGCCTATCTCAAAACAAGAAGGAAGATGTGGAGTAACACTGGAGAGGCAGTCCTCTGACCTCCATCCATGCACCCTGCACACGTGTGCCTGACTCACACATGTGGATACATGTACATCACACACACACACACACAGAAAGTAACACTGGAGAGGCAGTCCTCTGACCTCCATCCATGCACCCTGCACACGTGTGCCTGACTCACACACGTGGATACATGTACATCACACACACACAGAAAGTAACACTGGAGAGGCAGTCCTCTGACCTCCATCCATGCACCCTGGCACACGTGTGCCTGACTCACACACGTGGATACATGTACATCACACACACACAGAAAGATTTTTAACAAATACAGAGGGCAAAGACGCAGAGATGGGAAAAACACTCCTTGCAGCCCCACTTATATTTGGGACAGCCATAGAATTCATCATCCAAACTGGGACACTTCTGAGAGTGTAGGGCACCGTGGATAATTATGCTGGGGCTACAGGTATCACATGAGATTGTCCCAGGCGGGCCAGGACATACAGACGCCCCTCTCCTCTCCCTCCACACAGGACCTCACTCAACCCTTAAAACAGTCTTAACTTTGGATCTGGCCGTCATCTCTGGCAGTGTAGTCCTGTGGGCTGAGTCACAAAGCTAGGGGTTAGCATTTAACCTTTGATGGCTCAGATTCTCGATTCCTTGGTATCTTTTCCTTGCTTATTCAGAAAGAAGGGTATTACGGGTGGGAGATAGAGCTCAATTGGTAGATGCTTGTAGCATGTTCGAATCCCAGGGTTGGAGCATGCATATATAAACCAGGTGTGGTGGTGCATGCCAGTAATCCCATCGCTGGGGAGGCAGAGGTCAAAGGATCAGAAGTTCAAAGTTGCAGCCAGGGAGATGACCCTAACCGTCCCAAGCATAAGGCAAAGATCGGAGCTAACCTGGAGCTCATTGCCTGCCAGTCTGGTAGAATTGATGATCTCTGGGATCAGTGTGGAACCCTGACTCAAAACACACGGACAACTGAGGAAGACATACAACATAAGTCTCTGTCTCTATATGCACAGCATACCGTGTACAGGCTTGCATGCACATGTGTACTCACTTACACAAATACACACACATACCACGCCTCACCCCCACACATGAAATTCAGGTCGTATTTGGCTACATAGTAATAAGTTTAGGCCAGCCTTGGATACATGAGACCAGGTTTTTAAAAATACACATACAAAAAAAAAAAGACAGAAAAACTTTAAAGAAAGGAGAAACTTAGCTGGGGCTGGTCTTGGAGCAGGGACGCCACAGAAATGGTAGCTTGATGATGCAGGACAATTTGGGGGACACAATTCAGCGGCTCGTGAGCCTGGGCTCAGTTTTAGGTCAAGGCTCATGAATGAGAGCCCGAGGGAATCTTGAGGTGCTAGCCTTTTTTGCTGGTGGGATGGAGTCAGTCAGCTCCATACTTCCTGCCCAGCTATGCTCAGATATGCTCAGGTGTACACCTTCTCAAATCTGCACATTTCTCAACAAGGAAATTAGGCCAGGACAAGCCACACAGGTGCAACCCACTGGAAATAACCTTGCTGGTAAGATTACTCACATCAATGGACATGCATGCACACACTAGCTCATGTGCACACACGTCCTGTATGTTGGCCCGGTCACTCTTACCCCTGCTTTATACGTAGTGGGTACAACACTCAGGCTTTGGGTTGAGATGCTCAACAATTACCATGTATCTCACCCGCATGTAACACTGCAGCCTCTCCCTGGGGAATCATTGCTTCTCACCGCTCATGAAGGGTGGCAGCCTCAGGGCCCCAGCCTTTATGCAAATGCTAAACCCAGCTCTCTCCATCTTTTCTCTCCTCTCTAATTGACTGTTTTCCCTCCTTGCTGGGGTCTGCGGGAGCCCTGGGTCACCATTCAGAAGGGATCTCCCCCCCACTGCCTGGCCCTTCCAACCCGGGTTCCCGGCTCCTTTAATCTAGTTACTTATCCATCAACACACTGGGAGAAAGACACAAAGGGGCATAATTGTATCTGTGGCTGTTGATGTTCAATTAACCACATAACCTTTAGGATTCTCTCTCTCTCTCTCTCTCTCTCTCTCTCTCTCTCTCTCTCTCTCTCTCTCTCTCTCTCTCTCTCTCTCCCTCCCTCCCTCCTCTTGCCCCATCTCTTACATCACTGCCACCCAATCACCTTTCTTCAAGTCAGCACCAACTGCAGCTCACTGAGGGACCCCTCTCGAACCTCCATCTGACATCCCCTTAACCCACGTGAAGGGGTCCAGGGTCCCAAATTCTCACCCCTCACCTTTCCTTACCTGCTTTTGCCCTGCCACCCCTCGGACCACTCCAGGCCAGTGTTGACAGGTGCCTTTGGGATGCTGCACCTTGCAAAACTCCTCTCTCTGGCCCTTGTCTGGGGCCAGCAGCTGTCATTTGCCGGGCGTTCTGCTTTCTCCACTGTACCATGCTAATTTTTTGAGGGACAATTTTTCGACAATGAGTCCTCCAGCCCGAACAGAAACCCTTTATGGGGCCGGCCCCAGGGAGGCCACAGCGCTGCCAAGGCAAACAAAGGCTCATTGCTACCGCAGAACATGCTTGTGCCTTTCAGGGCTGGCCTAGTAAAGCTTGCTGCCTCCAGCCCAGGCCGAGGTAACACCTGGCCCGCCAGCTCCTGGCGCCTAATCAAGATATCAATCATGGCGGGGGCAGGGCACACTGGTGCCCAGGGCTCCGGAGCCCACATGTGCAGGTAGCTGGCCTGCCCTGGGGCCAGTAGGGCTTGGCAGGAGTTAGGAGCTGGGGGAAGCAACCAGGCCCCCAAAACGGAGCCCTTAATTAGGCTGATATCATCCAGCACAAATGTTTCTCCTGGACGAAAGCTTCTGGGTACCCAAATTATATCGAGTAAAATGCAAAGGAGGCTGTAGAGATGGCACAGGCTGTGAAGTGTTTGCTGTGCAACCACAAGAATCTGAGTTCAAGCCCCAGCACCCACATGAAAAGAAAAAAGCCAGGCATGGTGGCTTGCACGTATAATCCTGTCCTGGGATGCAGAGACAGTGAGATCCTTGGGACTCAATGGCCAGCCGGTCTAGCCTAATCGGTCAGTTCCAGGTCAATGAAAAGACCCTATCTCATAGAACAAGCTATCTGGCACTTGAGGAATGACACCTGAGGGTGACCTCTGTCCTCCATACCACACAAGCAAACACAAGTCTGCATGCTCTCAAACACATATGCGCGCGCGGGCACACACACACACACACACACACACACACACACAGAGTGAGAGAGAGACAGAGACAGAGAGACAGAGACAGAGAGACAGAGAGAAAGAACCTAAAAAGCAGTGCTTCTCAATATGTGGGTCAAACGATCTTTTCACAGGGGTCACCTAAGACCATTAAAAACACTGATGTTTACATGATGACTCATAACAGTAGCAACATTGCAGTTACGAAGTAGCAATGAAAATACTTTTATGGTTGGGGGTCACCACAGCATGAGGTGTCACAGCATTAGGAAGAGTGAGGACCACTGCTATAGAGGAAAACACCAATGTCACCCGCTGGTCTTCAAACACACACACTGTACGTGCACCTGACACAGGAACACACACACACACACACACACACACACACACACACACACACACACACTCAGACACACACACTTACCTGAATACTAGGTTAGAAAGGTCAGGTGTGATCTCAGGGAGGTGACATCTTTATACCACCGCTGCTTGATGACAAAGTGAAGAATCACAGGAGGCCTGTTTCTTCTAAAGACTCCTGCACTTGGAAACTATGCCTGGGGTCCTGTTGCTGGGTTTGGTGGATGGCTGGCAGCCTCCTTTCGTGGGATTCTCTGCTGGCTCCAAGACTGGGGAGAACAGCAAAGGGGAGCGGTCTGGAATGTGACCTGAGGTCATTGTTAGTATTCAGGCATCTGCACTGGCCTGTCCTTGGGGTTCTGAAAGGATACACCCCCAGCTGCAGCCACTAAGAGCACCACCTGTGCACATTCACTATGTTCCCTTTTAAAAGGGCCCTGCCTACCTACCCTCTTCCTTTCTTCCTCCCTTCATCTTTCTTTCTCTCCCTCTCTCTGTCTGTCTGTTCCTCTCTCTCTCTCTCTCTCTCTCTCTCTCTCTCTCTCTCTCTCTCTCTCTCTCTCTCTCTCTGTCTCTCTCTCTCTATCTCTGTCCCTCTCTCTCTCTCTCTCTCTCTCTCTCTCTCTCTCTCTGTGTGTGTGTGTGTGTGTCCCTCTTTCCTCTCTCCTGCTGCTCCTGTCCCTGATGCTGGTCTACCCCTTCCCCTTTCCCCTCTTCTGATCCCTTTCCCTAATAAAAACCCCTCCACTTGAACCCTGTTGCATGGCATCTTTCTCTTGAGCACTGCTTTTCTTAAATTACAACAGTCACGCCTTGTTCTATCAGAATCTCAACTAGTCCTGGGCTGAGAAAGATTGTACTCATTTGACCCCACCCACCTCTGTGGAGGTTTGGTGCTGGCAAACTAGGGAATGCTTCTAGTGATCAGATGCTTGGTGAGTCCATATGTGACTGGCTATGCAGCACCAGGTCCCAGAGGCAAGCTTTGGATACTACGGTGGTATAAACCATTTAGTTGATATAGGATAACTGTGCCTTAGTGACCTCACTTTAACAAACCATGCTAGTAGTCCCTGACTCACAGTCCTCTTTGAGGATGCAGTGGACATCTTCTGTAGGTGAGATTCCATCCCTGGTTTGTCATGCTGAGCCCAGGAAACTCCAAGTGCAGGTGTGCATTTGCCAGGGCCCCATGATGTGGCTACATGCCTCTATGAGGTGCTCAAGCATCCTTGTTGCTCTGGAAATTTTGGTCTTTCCCCGAGACATGCTTTGATTTGTTCCAGGATCCCTTACTGAAGGAACCCAGCAGATGGTGCACGGCCTCATTTGGCTTTATGAGAGTACCCCTCCTGGTGGTTTGGTGTCTGTGTCATACCAGTTGTGAAGTATTTTAGATATCACTCCCTATTATATGTGCAATAAACATTTTGCTATTGGAAACACACGTACAACATTGAGACAAGAAACTGGGCACTGTCCTATTCAGGTGACAATTATTGGGTGAACAGATATTTGTTCTCATATCCCCAGTAAAAGTCACTCAACATATGGGAACAATGAATAAATTTCATTTAGTTGTGCTTTCTGTGAATGGCCAAACTCTGTGCCAAGAGCAGGTCACACAGTAGGTATTTTGCTGCATGGTGAGTGTTTTGCTAAGGGCTGATCTGACTCCAAGGCTGGAGATGACGAAGACAAGGAGTCCAGCCAGCAGATTAAATACCACAAAGAAAGGCCAGGTTCTATGATGACTGGAATCTCGGGAGGAGGAAGAGGAAGGATGGGCAGGCTTTGAAACAAGGTCCTCAAGGTCACACAGGGCCATGTTCAAAGCTTGGTGGCACAATCAGCATTTTGTGTTGCTCCCAGTTCTATGGGTTAGAACCTAGAAGCAGATGAGAAATCTGCTGTTTGCTCAGGGTGTTCCCTGGGGTCAGAGCAAGATGTCTGCTGGGGACATGGTCACACTTCACACGCAGCATGCATGAAGCCTGAAATCCTTGACAGTCTTTTCTACTGTCTTATGGTGTGCCATTTCCCACTTGTGACGTCATGTCAGTGCTCAAAGCTTTCAGTTTCAAAGCATTTCAGGATTTTGATTTGGGAGTTAGAGACACTCAGTCCGGACTTTAAACATGACATCAGGGAAGACAGGAGCTTGGTGTATTTAACTATGCACCTTACTGGGAGAGAGTGACAAATATTTCCAGAGCTCAGGGGTCTCAAGTGTCTTAATTCAGCTCTAAAGGGATGGGGTGGGAGAAACACAGAGAAAGAGCTGCAAAGTTAGTTGTAGAATATTGTGTGAAAAAAATAGAAATAGACACATTGTTCAACACAGGGATCTGCCAAAAACATAAGGGGATATTGCATGCCAGGATCTGTTAGTTATTAGAAATGTGAGGGGTGTGTAAAGGTTGGTGAACCACATCAGTTAGCAGGCATCAGAACGATGTCATGACACTTTTATGCTTATAAAGTATGAAGCATAGAAACAAGGGCTGGGGAGATGCACACCAGCAAAGCGCTTGATGGATAAAGACTCCAGTCTGAAGAATCCACAAAGCAAAGCCGGCTGTGCTGGTGTGCGTCTGCAGTCTCGTTCTCAGGAGGCAGGGGCAGGAGGATCCCTGGGGCTTCTTAACCAGCTAACGTACCCGAACCGGTGGCAAGCTCCAGGTTTGCTGAGAGGATTTGTTGTAAAAAAAGAAGGTGGATAGGATGGGAAGATGGCTCAGTACACAAAGAAACTTGCTGCTAAGATTCACGGCCCAAGGGCCCGCCTGGTGGAAGGAGAGCATGAACTCTTGCAAGTTGCAAGGTCTTCTAACAGCTATACGTATGCTAGGACATGAGCATGCACACACATTCTCTCTGTCTCTGTCTCTGTCTCTGTCATTTCCCTCCCTCATTCCCTCCCTCCTTCCCTCTCTCCCTCCCTTCCTCCCTCCTGTTCTCTCTCCCCCCTCTCTCTCTCAGACACACACACACACACACACACACACACACACACACACACATTTTTTCAAGCTATTCCAGGGTGCCAGCAGTAGACACATATAGTTGGTGGAACTGCAAGTGGTGTTTATCATATTTTATTTTGGTTTTGTTTGCCTGTGTTTTGCCAATCTTTTTTTTCTATAATGACTATATGTCACTCTGGTAATTAATTAGAAGCTTCAGATGTTCCCATGAAAAGGACCTGCTCAGAATCGGCTGAGTTCTCTAACACTCCTCAGGCAAGGGCCCTGACTTAGCCTAGTAGCATGGGACAAGATGGGGGCCGGCACCCCAGAAGCAAAATTACCCAGAACGCTCTTGGCGCATCGCCTAGTCATGAGATTCCCAGTGAAGGGGGAAAGGTTCCTACCATGAATTGCCCTTCACAGGAGAAGTGAGCAGAAATGGCCCAAGTTGATCACTAAGACAGACAGGAAAGTCCCTGCTCCCGGGGTTGGGGTTTATACACTCACTTCCTGTCAGGTGGCCAGCCAGGGGAACACTGTGCCAGGTGCCTTGCAGCAAGTCTGCAGCGTGGCTGGTACCCGTCCCCAAGGTATCCCTGATGAAGAGGGCCCTAGAGAGACTTACCAAATAGCCACATAATGTCCAAGTTCAGGTTTGGAGGCGGGTGGGGGAGACAGAATCCAGAGTGGGGAGGCAAATTACTGACCTCCTGGTGACTGGCCAGTGAGATCCGGGGCATTTGCAGTTCCTTCCCTGCTGGTCACTGACCTGCTGTCCTTGGAGTCACAGGCAGTATCTTTTGGAGGTGAGGCTGGCATCCTTGCTGGTGTTCACTGTGGCCTCCCTGCCTCAGCCCTGGCTCCTGGAGCCTCCTAACTTGGAGAACAGGCCCCCCCGGACTGTGTGTTTGATGTTTACATGGTAGGTAAGGAAGGTCAAGGGGTAGTCCTGAGCTATTGTCTTTGTGCTTACCCTGTTGTCAGTGGGATACCAGAAGGGATCAGCTGAAAGCCACTGGATTTGATGGAAGTCTGAAGAAGAGCCTCATGGCTATTGTTACAGGCACTGGTTTCATCAGAGAGACCGGCAAACAACTGCGGACCTGCGTATCCCCTGGGACAGATGGCCTTCATGAAGATGTCTGTACCTGCTGGGGTAATACCTGTCACCATGAGTGTGGGGGGGCTTCCTGGAAGAGATGGACTGAGATGTGAGCTGATTGCAGGGCTGGGAGTGTAGCCTGGTGGGTAGAGACCTTGCCAAGCATGCACAAAGCCCTGGATTCCATCCTTAGCACCACGGAAGCCAGCATGTGGTGCAAGCCTGGACCTCAGGATGTGGAAAGTGGAGGCTGAAGGATAAGGAGTTCAAAGTCATCCTTGGCTACACAGCAAGTCTGAAGTTAACTCGAGCTATATTAGACCCCGTTTCAAATATAAAGTAACAAACCAAACTAAACTAAAATGGGAATAGTTATAGTAACTGAGTTACAATGATAAGCAAACAGGAATTTCCAAAAGTCGAGAGCCCCATGGGCTTCCGGGGAACGACTCTGGTCTGGTAGACAAATGCAGAGTAGAGCTGGATAAGTGGTGTCTCCGTGGTTCCCTGGGATGTTAGGGAGGCAGGTGGGGGCAGACACCATCAAATCTACCAGGTTAAGAAGGAGGGGTCAGGTAGGGAGCCTTGATGAGGAGTCTAGGAGAAGCACAGTCTATGTGCTCCTGGGGACTGGGGATCCTAATGGATCAGGACTGGAGAGCAGGCTGGGGTGCTGTGGGTATGCAAAGGGGGCTGCCTTGGCCATGGATGTCAATAGGATAGCGCCAGTGAGGCTGGAGGCTGCAGTTGTATAATTTGTGTGGGTATGAGGGCTGAGGTGACCAACCTGGAAATGCTCTGTGTGTGTGTGTGTGTGTGTGTGTGTGTGTGTGTGTGTGTGTGCGTGCGTGCGCGCGCTCGCGCGCGCGTGTGCACAGCATGCATGTGGGGGCTACATGAGGATCTTGCATGCTCTCCCCTCCTTGTTTGAGATGGGGTCTCTTGTTCACTTATGCAAAGGCAAGGCAAGCTGGCCTGCAGCTTCTGGGGATTCCCCAGTCTCTGCCTTTTATGGGCAGCAAGGAATCACAGATCACAGACGTGTACCACCATGGCCAGCTTTTATGTTGTTCTGGAGTCTGAACTCAGGTTTTTATGCGTAAGCAGCAGGTGCTTCACACACTGACCCACCTCTCCATCTCCCTAGCCCTTGCTCTGTTTCTTTTCTCTTCTCCTGCTCCTCCTCCTCCTCTTTATTTTTTCTATTTTTGGAGTAGGAGTCAGGGGACAGAGTCTCACTATGTAGCTAGCCATGGCTGGCCTGGAATTTACCATGTAGGCCACAGTCAGGTGGCCTGGGGTCTGTATCCATGTCTGTCTCCTGATGCCTGTTGTCCCTGACATCTGGGCATGCACAATCTAGGCTTCTTCCCAAAGGCCTACACAGGTGTGAGACACTATACAGCTGGTCTCTCATCCTTAGCAGGCGTCCCTAAACTCTACAGCACAGCTGATGGAGGAGACTCTGGCATGCCCCACTAATCCAGCATCCAGAAAGAGCAAGTGGCCTAGGGATATGGGAGGAGTAGGGTCCACTCACAGTGACTAGAGTTCCAGCAGGGAATTGTCCTCCGTCTCTAAGTGACTTCCTGAGAAAATGACATGTGAGGGTTGTAGGCCTCCATGCCAGTCGGACAGTGGCCTGGGGACCCCAAAGGACTGAAGCCGTGGCTCCCCCAACCACTCTGGGAGCAAGAGATGGGCATTGCCCCTCCTCCAGCCTTTTGAGTGGATGGGGCCTCCCTATCAGGAGCTGAGCTGTGCTGTAGAGTTTAGGGTACCTGTGAAGGCTGGGAGGCCTGCTGCCCTAATGTTGCACATCTGAGTAGGTCCTCAGGAAGATGTCAGGGACAAGAGGCATCAGGAGACAGACACAGCTGCAGACACAGACTTCAGATGTTGGGGGCACTTGGGTTGGGCCAGATTCCCCCCTTCCTTTTCCCACCCTTCCCTCCCTCTTTCCTTCCTTCCCTCTTTCTCCTCCTTTGTGTGTGTGTGTGTGTGTGTGTGTGTGTGTGTGTGTGTGTGTGACAGGTTTATGTGATTCTGGGCTCTGTACACGGTAGACAACCCTCTGCCCACTGCCCTGTACCCAGAGCCTTCCGATTGCTTTGATCTCAGATGCTTGCTGCCAAACGGCTTCAGGGCTCTGTGTAAGGTCCTGACGTCTTCCTGTGGATTTGCGCCCTTTGCCGTGCGGCCACGTCCTCATCGGGTCTCCACGCCCGAAGGAAAGCAGGGAGGGACACTGTCCCCTGGCTGGCTTCCCTGAAAGATGCCACCAGCCATCTCACCTTCCCACACCGGGACCTGCCGGCCCCTCTGCTGAAGCCGCAACACCTGGCTCAGCCACTCCCGAATTCCTGTCCCCCGGGAACTGTGTGAAATAATGAATGCTTAGTGACATTTTCAGTCCCCAACCTTTGTGGGAATCGGTTATGCAACGGCGAAGAAACCGATGAGCCTGGCGTGGCTGGAGTGGGAACGGCAGTCTAAGCGGTGTTGCACATCGGGGGGTTGCAGAGTCAACAGGCCTGCGGGGCCTCTAGAAAAACATGACTTCCAGGTATGTCCAGCCTGTGGCCCAGGGCAGCTATGAAGGCAGCGCAACACGTTTGTTGACCAAAATATCAAGTCACTAAGTCAAAAAGGTTAGATAGCCCTGTAAGAGTCTAAAAAAAAAAAAAACAAAACCCAAGGTTCACTATAAGGGCATAGCACCCTTGGCAGAGTGTGCTGGGGGGTTGTGGGGAGGAAAAAGCAAGGAGAGGGGTGTGTGTATGCGTGTGCGTGCATGTGCGTGTGTGTGCATTGCGTGTGCGTGCGGGCACACGTGTGTGTGTGTGTGTGTGTGTGTGTGCGCGCGCGCTCGCGCGCGCGCGCGTGTGTGTGTGTGCCCCAGCATCCCTGTGAGAGCGACCTTGACCTGACTCTGGGATGAGATCTGGGGTGGCAGTGCAGATGGAGACACCACCTTGAAGTAGATGTGGGAAGCACAGGACAGAGGTGACCATAGGGCCCCCTGTTTCTGCTCCGACATCACCTGGACGGTGGCTCACAACTGGAGGGAGGTCTAACCAAGATGATGAGATGGTCAGGGTGTCCCAGTCAGGGGTACCCAAGACCATGAGGGGCTCAGTCAGAACTAGGTGGGAGAGGCTCTCAAGATGCCCAGCATCCTTGACAATCGAGCGTCAGGCCCAAGCTCAGAGGAAAACTGAGGGGCATCAGGGTGAGAAGATGGCTCCCAGGGGTCCAAGGTGAGGAGCTGGAAGCAAGCAAGCCAGGCCCAGCTGCTAGGAGGTCAAGCGGGCCTGATCCGGCGCACCCTGCTGCATTGGATGTGAAGGTCGCAGCAAACCATCCTTGGTGGTTTGAAAAGCGAGTGAGGGTGAAGAAGCTGGGACGTGAGGAAGTTGCTCCGTCATAGAGGCTGCTCTGAGAGGACAGCAGACAGAGCAGGAGGCTCCATTCCTCTACACGGGGGCCTCTGCACAACTTGAGGGTGCTAATAACATATGGCAGGCTCCCTCGGCCTAACCATCCTGTCTCAGAAACTTTGCACATGGCCCCTGGAGTGACATTTCTCGCCCATTCTTCTTCCTTTTGTATGTGTGTATGCGTGTCACAGCAACATGTGTGGGGGAGTACACACACACATGTGTGTGTGTGTACCTGGGTATGGAGACCATGGACAGATTCAACTGTCATCCCTTATTTTTTGAGACAGGGCTCCCACTGGCCTGGATCTTGCCAAGCAGTCTAGGATGACTGTCTAGCAAACTCCAGGGACTTGTCTGTCTCCAACTTACCCAGAATTGTGATTACAAACATAATCACTCTCTAGTTGTTGTTTTGTTTGTTTTTAACATGAGTTCTGGGGATTGAATTCAGATCAACTGAAAGCACTCAGGAGATTTCAAAGCATGAGCCATCTTCCCTCCCTCCCTCCCTCCCTCCCTCCCTCCCCCTCTCCCCCTCCCTCCCTCCCCCTCTCTTTTTTTCTTTCTTTCTCTATTTTTTTAGACTACCATACAAAGTAATGGCTTTCATTATGGCATTTTTGCACATTCATCCCCATTTAACTTTGCTCTTATTAATGTCACCTATACAATTCCTGTTCATCCTTCTGGTTATCGGAGATGATGCTTCCTCACGAAGTCACTACTTGAATCTGCTAAGGCACAGTCCCTGAGGCACATGTTTTTCCTCCGGGCCATGTGAGTTGTGTTCAGTCATGATTCTTCCTCTCACAGAGCTCCCTCGTGGGGAGCAGAAGCTCGTGAAGTTACACAAAGTGAAATTGAAGTGACATTGAGAACCAGGTTCCAGGTGGGCTTCCAGCAGCCCTGGGTTGAACATGAATAATCGAAGGGAAGGCGGCCCTAAAATAGAGTGTCCTCTTGATCTGAGAAGATGCTCTTTAGAGTAGGCAGTGGCCACTGCGTAGGCTCTCACTGGCCAAGGTGCTGAGACTAAGTGACGTTTGAGTTCCCAGCCTTAAGCGGAACATTTGTATCAACCTTTTCAAGGCTCAGGGAACACTATAGAAGAGGCAGTGGGAAGAATGTAAGAGCCCGAGGAGGGGAGGAGTGCCTTGGAACACTGTCTTCAGGGCATGGTGTTGCTGTTGTATTCTCGAACTCGGCAGCTGTGATCACCCACACAGGCCTGCAGAAGATTTGGCACATCAGCGTTCCATCTCTCAAAGCCCCGCTCACCCCTGGGGATCTGCAGGCAGTTACTGGTTGTTGGGAGAGAGAGGGACATTGTCTTCAGTGGTGTATGTTAGTATTCAGGCATCTGTACTGGCTTACCCCTGGGGTCCTGACAGGACACGCCCTCAGCTGCAACCACTAAGAGCACCACCTGTGCTCATTCACTACATTCCCTTATAAAAGGTGGGCCTTGCCCACCTCACTTCTCTTCCTCTCTCTGCCTCTCTTTCTTCTCCACCATTCCTGCCTCCAGAAGCTGGTCTCCCCCCTTTCCTATTCCTTTCCCCCAATAAAGAAACCCTCCACACGAGCCCTGTGGTATGATGGTGTCTCTCTCTCATGTTGTTTTTAAAATTATAACAGTGAAGCCACTGGCAAGGTGCCCATGCCCTATAAATAAGCAGTCACCCACGTTCCGGTAAGCAACCCCCATGGAACACGTTGTTATACATGCCCCCTCACACACACGGATCCTCACACTAGAAGGCCCTAAATAACACAAATAAGATTGCATAGTAAATAAAGGGAGCTCAGAACATGGCTTCCCTAGGCTTTCTTGGCGGCATTTGAAGAGACCAGTGTCCATATGGGCACAAAACTGGTATCTGGGGTGAG